ACCGAAATTGTAACCATACTAGGGTAATGAAACTTATACTTGACAGTTTAAGGCACTGATTTGTACTTTAATTCTGAATTTGTGTAGCACAATTTTGATGGTGATTTTGTTTAACAATGCCCATGTCCATCCAAAGAACATACAACTGTTTTATGACCATGACACAACAAGAATGCAATGTATCGCGAGAGTTTTATACACCAGTTCTTCTTCTTTTTTTTCATCTTCTCCTTTTTGAGAAGTTGATAGTGTTAGCTAGCCAATTGATCCAAATTCCAAATCACCGTTTGATTCGGTGTATTTTTTGCCTTTATATAATTATAGAGCACTGTATTTTCTTGTTGGTTTGCATAACTTGTAATAAGAATAAATGTGTTGATGATTGTTGGGATGACATTTTCACCAATATCTTTTATTTACTATTTGGTTGATGCCATTGATAATATCCTTTGGGCAACATTATCCTTTTGCATGCAAAAATATGACATTATCCGGTCAATAACATCCCTACCTAGTACTTAGTAATTGATACTTAAAATAATTCACGTGGAATACACGTGTATACTAATTAGTATAAATAAATTTTATAATAAGAATAATTTTTTAAGCCTTTGATGGTTTATCTCCATTCTTCTCTCATTTCGTACAGGAAGTTCAGCAAGCTACTGGCTGCTTCTCGTTTTGCTTACTAACGTTGGCCATTTTTCTTTCTTTAAACGAAAGCTTAGAGTACGGTTCCGCATAAAGGCTGCATGAGTCTCCTTAATATTGGATAGCTTTGCAGCACCTAGAGTGTTTTTTTGGTACGATATCTGTTTGTTTTGTACAGCAAATAATTAACATAAATAATATTTATTAAAAAATAAAAATTTAAATATAAGAAAATAATAAAAATATGAGGCAAAGAAGTAACGTGATTCAATACAGCATATCCACCTTGGCACATTGTACCTACATTCAAAAATCAAAAATTTACATCGATGTATTATTCACAGGAAAACTGGTCATCTGGTGACAGATTACATAATACTTAACCCTATTTATAGAGATAAAATATTATATTCTAAACCTATTCAAATACAACTTGATTTTTATATTTCTCATCACAGATCTAACATACCAATTGATGATATATTAAAACTTTTCAAATAAAATCCTATTCCATTTAGAATTCTTACATTAATTACCCAACAAACTCTTTATAACAGTTAAAGAGTTTGAGTCAAATTTTAACAACCTCCCTTGAACCAAACTCTTCAATTTTGGTAATGCCTAAGATCGAGCTTAACATCCATGATTATTATCCAACAATTTTTTTCAAGCACCACGTGCAAACTTGTTCTTCTAAGTCGCCACAATTATCTCTGTCATTCAAGAACCTGCGTCTTGGCCTGCATCATATATACTGGAAGTTGAAGTCTTGGACTACATCATCTGTGCATCTTTGTTCGCGTCTTACCTGTTTTTGGGAAGTCTCAATAGTCAATGCTTCATTATTCAAAGGTAAAAAGCCAGTGACTCGTAACATACGAGATACCAAATCATCACTATTGAGTTAATGTCAGCACAATGGCTCCCAAACCATTGGAATACCGCGACTTCAATTCTAAAAGCCCCCAAACTTGAAGAAACATCTTGAACACAACACATGTGGTAATTCTTGAAATCCAAACTTTCAGAACCAACCTTAGTCTTTTGTTTGGTTTTATACCAACTTTAATTTTTTCTTGTGAATCTAAACAAAAATATGAATTGTACATACGTGGCAGGGGAATCTTCTTCAACATGAATACAAGTGGTTTCAGAGCCAAATTAACGTTGCTGGTGCAGTAAGTCAGAGTTAGATTGATGATCCTGGTAGAACAATCTGAGCTAAATTGATGATCTTGGTAGAAAAATCAAGTCACTTATTGACAATCCTGGTGTAATAATCAAATAAAGTTATTGGCAATTCAATGATCAAGTTGGTGTTCAGATTAAGAAAACACAAAAATAAGAATTATCATACTAAAATTGCAAAGGACAATAATGATAATTCAGAGGCTTTATTTTTGACCAATAGTACAATGGATGATATTCCAAATTGGGGGGAGACCGAAACCAATCAGTGATGGAGTCAAAATTCTAATACTTCGAGACATTCTATAATATTTCGAAATATTTTGTTATATCTTAATATATTTACACAATTATTTCAAAATATTTTAAGATATTTTAGTATATTTTGATCAATATTTTGAAAAAATAATACTTAAATTTTTTATTATTTTTCATTTTGTTTTCGAAACGTTTCCATTTCCTAATAAACCGACACAATGCATCAAAACAAAATTTTGATTCTTAGATCAGTGTACCCACTTAATTAAGTGGCACGTAGAATCCATAGATTTCACTTTTGATTTTTCATTTGAACTTTCACTGCAAAATTGTTCTTTTGGCCATCTATTTTTTTAATAAAGGTTCAATAATGGACTTTGTATTTAATCCTCGTGCTCTTCTATAAACAACAAAATATATTAATTATAGAACCACCTTGGCCCGCGCACGGTTAAGAAGATTGGCTGCAATCTTCGTGGTAACTCCCCCATCCTACCCTACCACCTATAGGTGACCAATAATGTTTGTTTAACCCAAAAAAAAAACACAATAAAATAGAAATAAAAAAAAAATATGGTATTGATATGGAGGTATTTTTTAGTTCCATATTTTCCAAATTAAAAACTCCAACTTTACTCACCATGTTATTTGGTCTAATTTTTTGTTTCACTTTTGGAGTCAACTAGGTCTAGCATTACCTATCAAGAAATGCCTCACTGAAATAGTGCTAATATAGGGAAATACAATTAATTATATTTTAAGGCATTATTTTGATGAAACATCCCTTCATCTGCAATACATCCTTTCACTCAATCTCGTACCATTTGCAAATGAAGGTGGTTTAAGTTGGGCCTAGTGTATGACAAAATCTTATACCAAAATGGGCACAATCCCAATTCATGAATGGGTTTTGTGCCCCCACGTTATTAGGTTTTAGATTTTGCTAATTTGTAAATAATACTTAAACTCAAGAACACTCTAAAACTCATTAATGGATTAAATTACTTAAAAAGATAAACACGAAACTCACATCACTGCAGAGAGTCTAAGAATGAAAGATGCATTTAGCCCCACCCCCCACCATGCGGAGAGATGAACCCAATTCACAAAAGAGTATCCTTACCTGTGCATGAAAGTCCACCTTGAATGAATCAAACTGCTATCTCTCTCTCTCTCTAACCCAAATTTTATGAGAATAGATTACCCATTTTCGGGGACAACGGGCAGAAAGACATCTCGATGTACATACTGCAGTCCAATAATAAAAATGTAGTCTAGGCAATCTATCCGAAAAGGAAAAACAAAGAAAAGAATGTTATGTAAGGTCAATGGGAATATACTTGATGACTACTGAGCATTGCTTGTTCGGAAGCCCCCTTCTATGGGAGCTTAATCACAGCCCCCATCAAGAAGCCAAGTCTTGCCACTCCTGCACCAGTCCATAATAAGATTAGGGCCGTTAACTTTTGACACGATATGATAACACGGCACGAATTGAATACAAAATTAATAGGTCAAACACGAAATTAAATGAGTCAATGGATTAAAATAGATCAACAAGTTTAAACACAAAAAAATCAAGTCGAGTTCATATCAAAATTATGTCAATCCAATTTTAACATGATTAAGTTGTATATTTTAAACAGGTTGACAAGATTTGCACACAAACCTGACTTAACCCATTATAAACCCGTTTGACCCATTTATGATAGTATGGTTTATTTATTATATATGACTAATGTGATCTTAATATTATTACTTAGTTCTTGCTTCTACTATGTTAATTGGCAATATAATTCTTAACATTATTATGACATTATACTAATATAGTTCTTGTTTTAATTTTTGGGTTAAAACTTGAATGCATTTTAGTTAATTTAATTGATGAGATGTGATATTTTATTTGTGAAAAAATTAATTGAAATTTTGGTTGAATGATTGAATGGTGTATTTAATAGTAGTAATAAACAAGTGTGAAAACATGATATGTGTGTTAAACAGGTATGTGTTATGTGTGTCAAACAAGTTAAACAGATCATGTTATTTATGTCAACCCAAAAACAACCTATTTATTAAACGCATCTAACATGTCGGATTCGGGTAACTTGTTTAATGGTCAAATCAGGTTAGTGTTTATACATCTCGACATGATTATTAAACATGTCATGTTTAGGTTTTGCGATTTTCGACACAAACTCAAAATCAACACGACACGAAATGACTCAACCCGACATGTTTGACACCCTAATTAAAATCCTATCATCTTAAACTTAACTACTCTTCAGAAGAAAAAAAAATGACAAAAATAGCTATTAAAATACCTGTAGAAAACTTACCAGTTGGAACTTATCGCTGTATTCACATCCATAAAACAAGGATGAGTTCAATGCAGCATGATGAATAATGGCACTATGGCAGTATACATAGTCAGGATATCTTGTTCATGGTATCTCAGATAATTGCATAATCATATTCAAATTTCAAACTAGAGACCGGGAACACAGATGGGGCGAGTCCCAGAGTTTTCAGGTAACAGGATAACCTAACAAACCAGAAATTCTAATGCAAAAATTGCAATCCTTTCATAACTACGCAAATACTTTTCTGACTCTAAAGTGCTACAGTCAACCACATATTTTGCATTTAATCTTTCATACAATCTAAAATGCATCATAACTTATTTTACACGTCCACACCATGTCTCCAATTCATACAATGAAAAAGAAAGAACAAAAAGAGGATAATGAAAAAGAGTCCACGAAGCAAATTTACAGCCGGCGAGTTCTTGAAATGGCACAGACATATGCATCAATCCCAGTCATTCCTTGTCAAACCAAAAATAACAGCAATTGTACCAAGAATAGCCTGCACTTGCAAAAGACGTTACAGAGTTATATTCATAGATGAGCATAGGCAAAATATTTTTTGAAAGTCCAATTTTCACTTTTTTGAAATTGCAAAATGACCAAGGTCACTCCCTGAGGAAATCAATATTGGGAAAAGAAAAAACACTGCTAGCAAATTCTCTTTGCGAAGGTAAAACTGCTCTAGACATGGCAGGAAGAAGCTTACCAATCGAATACTCAGTGAGCCAGCCTGAAGTCATCTCTAAATGTGTTAACGCCAGTTTCAAGAATGTTTTGGCAATACTAACACCAAACCTTAAGAACTCGTATATTATGGAACACACCAAAGGAGAAACAGATTAACATGCCTATGTCCCATCTAGCATAGACAAAAAGCTATTCCCATTCATATTTTGTGGGTCCTCACGCATAGCATCCTTTACCAATTGCCGAACATGGCTCAAAGTGTTGATTGATGCCAATACGACTTAACTAAGTCATATCTGGCTTGGCACATTCTGTATCGCCACCATTTCACATTTCATGTAAATCATTAGTATCACATAACTTGGTTGAGTCATTTCTTATGTCTCTGAATCAAAAATTGAGTCATTGGATTCATTGTTATCTAATTGGCCAGTCTCGTTCCATGACGCTGCGATAAGATCTGAATCTCTCGTTACATTTAATTTTTCTACCCATTATTTCATGCAAAAGCCCGATGATGTTCCACAATGTTGAAAGCAATGCGTCTCAGTATCTTCAATTCCAGTCCATGGCTGATACTACGATCTTAACCAAAATGTCAAACCACAAGCGCCCTCTCTCTCTCTCCCTCCCCCCCCCCCCCCCCTCTCCCTTTGATCTTTGACCTGATAATGAGGCTGTCAAAACCAACGTCACCAAGGCACAAGGAGTGCCAGCATTTGATGCTAACGTCTGCAAGTAATGAAATGTACTCCTTTCTTCCAAATACGTATCTATATTAACCATCTTCTTCATTTAGCTCATTATTTATAGAGGTTAATCACAGTATCAAACATGAATGCATAAATGAATAGCATTTCTCATGTACTGGTGAAATACTTGGCCAGATAACCACAAGGTTGTCACTTCTATTCTAAGAGCAACCACTTTGTACAAATAATGTCAACAGATTAGGTCTACAACCCTCCAACACAGTAACAGAAACCAATCTAGGTAATGCTGATTTTGTCTGACAAGCTGATTTCACCTCTTTCAAACACCCAAAAAAATGGAATAGAAAAAATAATTTTGCACCTTCTTGCTGGCAGCAGTTGCATTTTTCTCTACAATGGGTTCTCGTGTCTGACTCTTATAGGTAGTCAGATGTTCTGGTTCTCTTCTTTTAATAGGTTTATGGAGTAAAAGTCGGTATTTGCGAAAGTGTCAAGCTGATGAGGTCAGATATCAGTAGTGACAAAGGCAAACTGCCAGAAAATCGCATTGTATGCATCTATATACTCTTCTTTGAACTAGACACATTTGGGCGACCACAGATGCATTATTCACATCTAAACTGGTTTCTAGAATCCAAGCAGCGTTTTACAAAAGGGAAATAGTTGCTGGAAATCTTTGTTCTATGCTGGATAACTCTTTCTGGATTTGAAATGAATTTAAAAGAGCAATTGGAAATGTTAAAGGAGAATCTTGTAGAGATCGGAGAGAATTCTAAACTGATGCTCCAAATCTTTCTAAATGTTCCGGTGGAACTCAAACTTGCAGACTCAAGACAATCATACATCCCATCAACCTCTCTCTCTACAACCAGAGACACACCACGCATGTGCGTTGATGATGAATATCTAATCATCTCTGAAAGGTTACTTCATTTTTGTGGTTGCATTTGCTTCCCAATACGACTTCTCCAGCATTTTATATTTAAATTACCAACATTCTCATAAGGTCATGAATCTTTTCACTTCCCATATCCAAACGTACCTTGTAATGCATTTCCTATTCAACTTATTAAAAACAAGTACAAGGACCAATCAAAAGTAGACAAGTTGTCCAACCTAATGATTGGTAAAACAGAAGGTAAAAACAGAAACTAGGAACCAGGGAAGGAACTAAAAAACTTTAGGCCACATTACAATCCATATGATATTGTCCAACTTCCCGTAATACTAAAGAGAGGAATACTCTCAAAATCTTGTCACAGATACCCAAAAAGAAGCCAAGAAATAAACTCGTTCCCATAACCCTCAGCTTTCTCACTTTTATCTTCAAAAGTTCTTGCATTTCTCTCTATCCATAAATCCCAAATTGTTGTAAAGAAAGCACAATGCCAAAGAGTCTTCCCATTCCTACTAATAAATAATAATAAAGTCATAGGACAATGCAAGAATAGATTATCTACACTCTCACCCGCCCCTATACACATCATACACCGTTGAGGTGAAAGACAAGTCATAGGTCTTCTTCTTTGAAACACATCATTGGTATTAACCTTACCATGAGCAATTATCCATAAGCAAACTTGCGCCTTTAGAGGAACACTGACATTCCAAATCTTAGAATATGGATAAACAATGAAAATGAAGGCTCAGCAATCAATGACTCAAAATAGGATCTATAAGAAAATACACTTTAAGTATCACTAATCAAAACTCTCTCATCCAAAGAATTTTGAGCGTGAGAGACAATATGAAGGATTGAAAATAATGTCAACAACTCCGAATGTTCCGTATCATTAAGATTTCTACGGAAACTAAAATCCTAAGACACCGAAAAAGAATAAGATGTGACAATAGATGCAATAAATTTCCCATGATAGCAAGAAACACAATAAAGGTGAGGAAAAAGACTAGCAAATTAAGAATCTCCCCACCAAATATCCTTCCAAAAGTGAACCCTCAATCCATCTCGCACAATGAACTTCCATGGACTTCGGAAGATCCCTCTCAAACCCTTTAGCATCCCACCCATTAGCGCATAATCCATTTTTACTTCTAATAGCCGTATGGCACAGTGAATCTTGCTCCAATGAAAATCTCCAAAGCTATTGTCCAACTAAAGCCATATTCCTTTTAATCAAATTTCCCACCGAAAGTTCACCCTTACCTTTTGGTCTAGAGACAATATCCCATCAAATCAAATTATCATTCTTTCTTTCCCCACACCTTTGAAATAAGAAATCTCTCATCATCCCTTCAATCCTGCTAGCCACTAAGCAAGGCATCTTAAAAGAGATAAGTAAGAAATATGAACACGAACTGTACTAAAGTTAACCTACCCCTTCTAGAAATAAAAGTTTTCTTTCATCCATCTACTTGTTTCCCTATCCTTTCAATAATAGGATCCCAAAAGATAATAGACATCGGATTACCACCTAAAAGGAGTCTAAATATTTTAAAGGCCAACTTCCCACCATGTAACCTAAATCTTTAGCCAATGTCTCAATTTTGTCTTGAGTTGAATTAATTTCTACAATTATATTTTTCTCTATATTAATCTTCATAGCATAAATCATTCCAAACAAATCCATAATTTACTCTGTATTTCTAAATTTCTCATTTCCAAAGGAGAAAAAAAATTGTATCATTAACAAACTGCAAGTAAGACATTGAAATACCTCCCCTTCCCATGGAAAAACTCTCAATCAAGTTACATCTCTCTACCATCTCTATTAATCTAATCAACCCATCCACCACCAAAGCAAACAAAATAGGAGATAAGGGATCCTCATGCCTAACCCTCTAAAAGCTTTAAGCTTCCCCATGGGTCTTTCAATTTAACATAATAGAGAAATTCATTGAATTCAAACATCCCCCCAAAATCTTTCACTTCCATACTCAAATTCAAATAAGATCAATCCACATGGTGATATGCTTTTTCAAAATAAATCTGTGACACAATCCCCTCCTTCGTTCTTATCCTATATTCTTCAACCGCCTCATTAGATGTCAAAGCCACACCCAAAATCTATTTCCCTTTCATAAAAGCCACATGAAACTTAGAGATAATATCACTCAAACATTCTCTAAGCCTAACTGAAAGGACTTTAACTATAATCTTGTACGAGTAACAAGATTAATAGCTCTAAAATCCTTACGTTCCAAAGAACTAACTTTTTTCGGAGTAAGACAAATAAATGTGGCATTTGTAATTACATTAAGCACTTCATTAGCAAAAAAACACCCCAAAAACCCTCATCAAATCATCATCCTTAATATCCTCCAAACAAACCTGGAAAATAGCCATCAGGTTGCTGGGCTTTTTCCTTAGAACACTCAAAAACTACTTTCTTAATCTCTTCTAACTCAAATGACCTTTCCAACCATCCATCCATCTCTCCATCAATTGGGCACCATTCAAACCCCACCAAACTAGGTCTACAACTATCATGGGCAGGGTATAGATTAGCAAAAAACTCAAGAATCTCCCTCTCGATCAAATCCTCCTCATCCACTATAAAACCATTGTCCTCCTCCAATTTATCAATAATTTTCCTCTTTGTTTTACCATTTGTTACTCTATGAAAAATTTTGGGATTATTATCACTCTCCTTAAGCCACTTAACTCTAGACTTTTGTCTCATACTTATTTCTGCCTTGAATCGCTGCAGTCTCAGGCAATTCATCGGGCTCCATAGAGATTCTAAAAGGAGAAAGCTTGCCTTGAATGAAATTGATTAGAGCATACCAGACATCTCCATATGGTTTATTCTGAAATTAATGTGAGCCTACACGACATCTCAACAGGGACACTTCATGGTTGATTTTGAAACTAATGAATCTTTCTCCTATTTAACAAGCACCTTACCATGAATTGTTCCTATGTTTATTAGTTGCCAGACACACAGTAGAATAGTAGAAGCATAGGCAAAGTGATTGATTTATCAAACATGATGCAACATATACCTAGGCTGAGAAAATATAGCATTTACTTATGGTAACATCCAAAAACAGAAAGAGAAACACAGCAAATACATGCCTAGGTGTTCAGGGAGCTACATAGGGAATGAACTAGCATAATTACCAATCCAATTACGTAAAATTTGCAACTAAAATAACATGAGTAGCAAGTAGGTAGAGCCCAACCTGTAAATTAAAAAAAGATGTAAGAGAATGACTACTTACAGCAATCATGCATGCGATATAGCCAGGTTTCTCTCGGTGGTCATATCTGGAGCAGAGTAAAATAATTGCCCCAGCATACCAGGGGATAGCAGCAAGGAAGAAACCAATGATGAACCTTCAGAAAACAGGCAGCTCATTACAATTAACCTTACCAAAGTGCTAAAGATGCCCCATTAGTTATAAATGGTAGGACTTAATGCAAGAAAAAGGAGGACTAGAAAACTGTTATTACATCATAAAGGTCTCCCTCTTATATCAGGTTTCTGAACTGGAAAACTCAGTGTCATCAGTTCTCATAAAATTCGTGATCAGGATTGTGAAAGACTTATGCAGAAAGAAAAAATAATCAGGATCTGAAAGAACAAACTGAATCAGTAAATTATCAAGACTGACAGAAAAATGCATAGAACACCACACTCATAGATCCATTTGGAACTCTACCATCAAAAACCTTTAGAGAACACAATAGATCCACTACCACTCCTTAAAACAATAAACCTGACTACCATAATACAAGACCTAAATACAAAAAATTTAACTGTCATAAAGTTACTCATTTGAAAAACTTGGCAATGTAATTGACTATTTTTTAGGGTTCGTCCTTATGTTGGGTGAATTAAAGCTGTCTTCAAGATAAAGAAGCTCCATCTAGGAATAAGTATTATGAGGATTTATTTGCAGTCAGGAATGATAGAATGATCATTTAATACTAGGAGTTGGGATTATACGGGCTACTAAGGAGTGTCAGAGGTGCTTAGAAAGAAAACAGGAAGTGTACTTGTACAACAGCATTGTACTTGCCAAGAGGAAGTGAGGGAGGGGGGAAAACAAGTAAACCTAAGGTGTAATGCTTTCAATGAAATCACATCCAGTAACCTTCTTAGAAAATCAAAGGATTTTGACTCAGAAAATGTGCATTAGTAAAAGAAAAATCCTGCTTGCTTTACACTCTAACACCAAAAAAAAAAAAAAAAACCCAAAGGCTTTTGGGAAACATCAGGCCAAAGACATTAGGTGCCCGAGTATGCAAAAACTTAGAAAATTTCAATGGAAAAGTTGCTCCTATTCTGAGGAGAAAAAAATAACCAAAAACATACCTTTTTTAAAGCTCTTTTTTATGGTTAACTACATGAGCTTTATCCTAGAGTAAGAACATCCTATATACATCTCAGAGTTCGCCTCCACAAAAGTGCAGCAAAGGACATATGCCATGAAGAGATTGGACGCAGTGAACATATATAACTCCAGCAATATGAAGATTCTTGTTCAAGAACATATATGAGACTTAATCACATTTATAGGGAGAATTGTAGAATGCATGAAAGATATCAACAAATCAATAGCAATATGTATCACATTACGTCAAACATCTATACTTGTAAAGTATTCAAGAAACCATTTCCATGTGATTGATAGTCACTTACAAGAACCAGCCAATGCCTATACCACAGCACGGAAGACGACGTTCTCTTACAGGTCTTCCTTCGGCAACTGCATAACCTAGAAACCATCAAAGTGATACGAAATAAATACCAATATCCAAGCACAAACAACATCCAACAACCGAATCCGGAACAATTCATCCTCTATTTCCTGATCACGAACATCGTTTCACATTTCAATTCATGCTAAAACTCATTACGGGATTTGATCCACTTAAAATCCCAAAATCCAATCCACCATTGATGCACACATAATCGCACACACATAAATACCGAGAGAGACAGAAATGAAGTACGACATTAATACCTAAATCCAAGCACAGACAACACCCAACAACAGAATCCATAAAAACTCGTCCTCTAATTCCTGATCCTGACCATCGCTTCGCATTTCAATTTATGCTGACTCTCATAAACCCATTACAAGATTTGATCCAACCAGAAACCCCAAAATCCAATCGATCATTGATGTACACATAAGTTTTGAGAGAGAGACAGAGAGCGAAATTAATTACCTGGAACGGCGTGGTAGCCATGAGCGTAGTACTGAGGTGGTGGTTCTGAGGCGCCTGGCGGCGGAACAGGCTGAGGAAAGCCGATCGCCGGCGGCTGAGGAGGCGGGTAGTTTGCAACACCTTGGAAAGTACCGTACTGAGGTGGGTGTTGCTCTTCTGGATGATGAGTGTGAGAGGTCTGGTGTTGTTGGCCAATTACCTTTCCTTCTTCACTCATATTTTCCAGGAAAAAAAAATTGAAACCCTAAATGGATGATCTTTCTGTGTTCTTCTTCCTCGATTCTGGTTCTGTGAACTGTGAACTGTGAACTAAACGCTAGGAGAGATGATCAAAAGATATACAGAGGAATGTGTATATATACGTGTATATGTATGTGTATGTATAGGACGGATGGTACTGATATTGGTTTGACCAATGGGAACTATCCACGTGGATGCTAGACTGTTTTTGATCCATATGATTGTTGGCTGTGTGAGAGGATTATCCAGTGTGGACCAATAGTAGCGGAAACATTTAATAATACAATTACAAAAATAATAGAAATTAGCAGTCGGTCTAATTAACATCGCCTCCAAATTTGAAACACATTCTTTTCCTTCCTATAGTAGTGTTTGACCAAAAACAAATTCAATAAATAATGCATTATACGATTAAAATTAATGGTGAAAGTATAACCCTTATAAAATTTATGTTATCATTCAAAAAGATTTAAATTACAATTTAAAAGCAAAACCTTAAAAAACCTGCAAACCTACAAGACAAGCGAGAGTTGCCTGAACCAGTGGTCATGGGCGGGCAAAGGATTCTAATGTCTAAGTCAGATCACAAGTTAAGGGAAAAAAACTCAAGTGAGTAGAACTCTGAATTGTAATGGGATTGATCCGTATTTAATATTATTAGTAACTCCTAAATGAGTAGTATTGAACTAGTAATCTTTACTCTTTGGTTAGACTGTATTAGAGTAGGACTCTTTTAGTAGGGGGCGGACAAGCAGAGGATGATAGCAAAGTACCTCTCAGGTTCGTGGTTAGCTATCGGTCGACCGACGCTTTTAGTCAACAAGGCCTTCCTTGTGGTGCGTCAGTCGGTATTTTATTTTCTTTTAGAGATGAGGTGGAATATTTGAATTTTTAATTTTAAAAAGATAAAATTTTTTATAAGACAAGAAATACCATTAAATCAAAGACTCGTTGATATACTGATCGACACTTGTCTAGTTGGAGCTTTCATAATTATCAAATATTATGATCGATCACGAACATTTATAACCTATTCTTCATAAGTTAGAACTTGATCATCAATAATAGTATTTTTGGTACGATACAATAATGGTTTCCACACCTTACCACTATAATGAAACAGATTGCTAGTGATGCACTAGATAAGGACTCGATATTTGGGGTTATTTATACAGGGAACTACTTGGAACCTTCCCTCTTGGCATGATATTTTAGTCACAGTACCACCCAATGTACCATGTCGGCTATTATTATCAGAGAAAGGGTAGGGTGCCTTTGGTTGCCAATACAATGACATATTTAATAACCCCCAAGGGTGGGTAGCTAGTCAGAGACGGGATTAACAGTAAATTCAGACATCTTAATTTTAAAATTTAGTAATTCTTTTAACACTAGGACATGAAGAATTTAATTTTCATGAATTTTTTAGTCTCGACGTGAATTGTTTGTCTTTGTTTAGACTAAAAATTAATCAAGATGTGCATAAGTACATCACCCCCTATTTTTATGGACTAATCTACACATCTCACTTCGTTAATGGTGATTATAAAAGTACTACAATACCCTCAGATATACATTTCGTCTACCCACTACTTTTAGTCATTCAGTTGAATGCACAATGTATAAACCTACAGAAGAGGAGAAATATTATGGCAAAAAACTAGAGTTCGATTTCCTTTATGAATCAAAGTGAGGGCTTGGATTTCTTAATGATTTGAAGTTAGGGTTTCAATTTACCAGTTAAAGAGATGATCTGGGGTTTTAATTTTAACAGGTAGAAAAGTTACGGCCAAAAGCAACGCCAAGCTTCCATCTGCATTGATTTTTCGGTTTCGAAAAGGATGGACATTGTTAGTTTATTCAATTTTTCATATATCGTAAGTTATGCATTGAATTATGTGTGTGAAGATATGCATCACTTGTCTATTTTTGTTATATTTTTGTGGCACAAATTTGTTGTTTATTGACTTAGTGGTCCTCCACTAAGAATTTGTATTTTAAATATTTGGCTATTTTGATTTGTGGTCCTACCAAGGGTTTCACCTGTGGATATATTTTTTCAGTTTGTAGTCCTACCACATTTTATATGGTGATTTTGGATGGGAGTGATGCATTTTGGAGAGGTATTGAGAGGGCTGATTTTGGGAGTGGTGCCATTGGCAAGGTCTAGTGCAGCACAAAGGTCCCACTTCAGTTTAGTCTGGAACTTCAGTGTAGCACAAAGGCCCATTCAAGCTACTAGCTAGTTCAATCTAAATTTGTTTAGTCTGCTAGGAATGTGCACAATGCAAGAAGTGGTCCAATCAGTGGCAAAGCAACTATATCTAACATATTGGATTTAATTAGGGCCAGATGATCAACCAGATCAATTGCTCGAGGCTAAGAAAAGCACGTAATTCAGACTAAATATTTTTTATTTATGTTATATCAATCAGTAGCTGTCTATGTACTCTTTTGATTGTATTGAACATCTATGTTCTTTTGGTTATATGGGCAGATGGCTGTGAGCATTTTGCTATTTTGAAAATTTGTTGTAAAGTTGTATTGACCATGATATAAATAGCAGATGGTTGTGACTTGAGAGCATTTGGTATTTATATGTCCAACAATCTATAGATGAAGCAGATTAACATTACAAACATTGCATAACATTCTATTAGATAAAACATCTTTACAATATATTGAAGACAAATAAGGCCTTCAAAGCATAGACGCGTGTTTTTATTTCTTGCTTAAGACAAAAACCAACACTATCGAACGAATTACATGCAACATAAACATTCTCCTTTGCATAAACTTCATGGCCACTTGATAAGACTTCATGGCCTATTGATTAGTTTCAATCATCATCACCCTATTGCTCAGTTTTACAAATTCATTATCATCTGGAATGGCAAGCATACCAGTCGAGATGCCCAAAACTGAAATGGGATAACACCATACCAAGAATTCACAATTTTTAATCCTGTAAACATAATACAATCTTCCTTCGACGGTGTCTCGAAATCAACCACTTTGATTATCGCTTTACGCTGACACCCACATATTTGGGTATTAAACCTCAAATCCATAGGTCCCCCCTCCTCTTGAGTTGCTCGAGTATGACAACCAATTCTAACAAAATATTATTATAAAATTATTACACATATTTTAAATGAAAATAATTTAAATAAGAAACGTATAATCTTTATCATAGTAATTTATTAGCCATTAGATTACTCAAAAATCATGCTTAAATAAATTACCTCATTTTTAGTAGCTTCCTCTCTCCAACTCTAGACAACAGCAAGTCCAACTCCAGTTAGCAACTTCTACAGGAAATGAAAACTTGAAGCTTAGAAAGCTTTTTACATAACGTAAGAGGCCAATTTTTACATTGGCTAAATTTATTTTAGAGGGAACCTTATTTTGTTGACCAATCGCTAAAGAAGCATGTCGTGACGAAAAACTTAACACTTGCAGATTATTCTATAAGCACCGGGGTGATGTATTTATTTTCAAAACATAGGGAGTCATGTAAAAAGCCACAAATCACAAGGTAAACTAAAATTTGCCCTAAAGAATAGGATTTGACTACGGTACTAAAATATTTTTTTTTAATTACTATATCTCTACTTAGAATCTATTACCAATCTACCCCATTTCTCAAACTTAAATATCAATTTACTGCCGTTTTCAACTTATTTACCAAACTACCGCTGTTTTAAAAGCGGAATTACCAATTCCGACTTTATCTCAAAAAATGGATTTGTCAAATACGCCTTTGCTACTGAAAGCGGATTTGTCAATTATGTTTTTAATTGAATAATTGTAATTTTGGAATTTATTTTTAAAAGTGGACTGGTTTAAAAGCGGAATTACTAAGTCCGACTTTATTTAAAAAGCAGATGTAGTAATTACGACTTTATCAGTGGAAGCGTCTTTGTCAATTGCACTTTTAATTTTGTTTTTAAAATTGAAAGCGTGTTTGGTAAGTGCGATTTCATTTGAATATCAACCTCCCAGGGCCCTCTTTCTGTTATTTCATTAGTTCGCCTATCTCTCCTCTCTTCTCTTTTCTCTGTGGAAGGTCTGATTCGCCTCTCTTTGCTCTTCACTGTCTCCTCCTCATTCTTCCATTATTGTGTCTGATGTCATCACCCCTAAGCTTAGCCCTTATAATGCACAAACCCTACTGATGAAATCCAAGCGTAGCCGTAGTTTTTTCGAAGAAGACAACTGACTTCTGGATCAATGAAAGGCTGTGAGATTCGCCTGAGGTGTGACATTTTCCAGCTGTGAGATTCCATTGTAAGCCCTAGTTTTGTCGACTGAAGCAGTAGACTGGTACACACCCGTGAGCTAGGTCTGAACGAAGGAGAAGACAGCAGTTCACGTGTTGAACACAAAGCTTATATTTAAGCTGGTACGCTACATTGACTCTCTAATTCAAAAGAAACCCAAGTGTAACTGCAAAATTTCCCCATTGCCCAATCCCCATGAAAGTTAAATTCAGAAATCCCCAAATGTTAGTGCAAATTTTCAATCCTTATTGCCCAATGACCGTGTGATTCCGAAAATCCCCAAATTTTTTCAATTTTGAATCCCCATAATGCTGCGAGTAGTTTGAACTGCATCTTTTCTTCAGAAGATTACAGTGTGAAGGTATATTTTTATTCAAAAATTTATTTTCAAGTGCATTACTGATATTGAATTCAACTGCAATATATACTGATTGTTTATGTGCTGTCTCTAATATTGTTTCGTTCTATATTGATTGTTTATTCAACTACATCACAGCAACTGTAATCTTATTACTGATTATTCAACTTCAGAAGATTACTGATTGTTTATTCAACTGCATCACAACAACTGTAATCTTATTACTGATTATTCAACTTCAGAAGATTACTGATTGTTTATTCAACTGCATCACAACAATATTTTGCAAGGTTTTAGAATTATCCATGTTAGTATGATAGTGTCTCTGATTATCTA